ATAACCCCCCCCCCCAAACAAAATGTCCACCCCTCCAAAAAAACTTTCAACCCCCCCCAATATTCGGCATAATAAAGAATAATTAAATAGTCCACTCCAACGTGCAGAGTGTTGATGATACAAAATAAATGTAGGAGTACACTCAAATAGAAAAAGACCAATTGTAAAGTTTTGAAACTCTATTATCTCCCCTGAATAGAGTTTGCAGTGTCTTGTCATGCAAATAGCTTGCTTGTAAGGAACGTTTGGAAATTTTACGAACATTATTTTTAGTTTTTAATTCTTTTAGGAAATAGTCTCGCCTAGATTTAATCTTTACGTCCCAAATATTATTTGCATCGGAGTTGCATCATAAATTGTACTCGGATTCAAACGACACAATGTCAATGTTTTTATAAAAGTAAAAGCATATTGTGTATTGGCCTATTGCGTTTACACTTTTACACTTTCATTTAATTTAACTCTCTCAAGTCTCAACAGACAATCGGACAGGCCAAATCCATTGATATGACAACTTCAAAAAACGTTTTTTCGAAGCTAGAAATCATGATCAGTTTTCAAATTTTTCCAGGGATACTTTGTTTTCGGCTCTCTAGATTCCCACTCGCGGCTCTAGTGCTCCACCCCTAGAATATAGACCTTACTGGGGTTTGGTGACACTTTGTGTTGCTTCAGCCCATAGATATAGGAGACCTAGATTGCTGACTCTAATGTTTTCTATAATGCACGCGCGTGACACTCATGAGCATTCAAAATGGCGGCTCAACCGGGCAAAAATCATAGAGCGAGATAGGGAAAAACCATGTTTTTTGCATTTTACGTCGTCCTACAGCTTCCGATCCCGTTATATCACTTTATTTTGGAAAGAACTAACTGGTGTGAAGGTTTTGGATGAATATTTGTGCAATTTAAGTTTAATAAAGACGAAATAATCGATCGCTAAATGTTTTCTGAAATCGTCACAATGGTCGGTTGAGCAGTTCGAGACATTTTGTTGCAGAAAATAAAGGTTTTGGTTTTTTGGGTGCTTTTTTTCTCGAGGATCTCGGTTGGGATATTTAACAAGGAATAATTCTGTGAAGTATTTTGAAGTTAAAGCCTATTTTACTTGATTTATTTGGTCTGCTGGTGCGAAAATTCTGATGCTCTGTTTAGTGTGACTTTGACAACCTCCTTGCTGCTGCAGATGTCAAGGGCCTGTCAAGGGATCTCAAGTCTATAGGGCCTGGACAGTGAAAAGTGATGAATCAATCAGGTTTGTAGAGAGAACTAGTGACAACGAAAGTTTTCAATGGAAACTAATTTGAAGAAACTGCCTAATGTGTCTGGTATGCATCAAAAACCTTCACAGTTAGTATCTAGTTCTCTCCAAGAAACCTGATTGATTCATCATTGATAATCAAAAATAGATGGGACGGCATCTTTGTTTAGATATTTCTTGGATTGGCATTTTATTGATTGCTCTCTGCAGTCGGCATTCTTCCCTTCGGACACTCTCCCCTTGAGACAGCTGACCCAAGCATCAGCACTCTCCCCTTACGAGTAGAATTGTCTGGCGTAGCCAGAGTAAAATAATTAAGTAGGGCACAAAACGACTCAATGGGTTAACTATACACATTTGCAGGTAGGCCAGTTAACCCATTAAGTGCCACTGCTCTCCTCTTGATGAGTAAAATTGTCTGGCATTAGACAGAGTAAAATAATAAAGTAGGGCACCTTGCAACACCATGGATTAATATAATCATCGGGTGTGAAGTATAATCATCCGGTGTGAAGTGTTTCTCACACAAGAATGAATATTTGATTGGCATTGAGTCTGCCCATTTTATTTTTTAGCAGGCTGGGATTGGTTATAGGAAATCCAATAGTGCAAAGGGAAAGATGTATTTTTGGTTAACTGATGTGAACAAAACTAAAACATTTTTGACTTTGAACAGGACAAGGAAAGTTGTTGTCAACATGCATATATAGAGAGAGAGACTCTCCTAACACAGACATCAAAACAAGAAGTTCTTTTTTGGTCTAATATTCTTCTATTAAAACTGTAAATAGTTTTATATTGTAGCTGCCAAACTCAAAACTACATTTGTTGTGATGTTGTCATTACAGTATTTACAAAACAAATTCTTTTTATTCTATTATTATTCTGTTTATATGATGTAAGTTATAGACTTATAGTGTACAAATATGTGATGTGTGTGTGTTTCATAGACTTACTTATGGAAGGAAAATCGAATAACATCCCACGTCTGTCTTGTAGTAATACACTGAACACGATTCTGGCCGACTTTCAAGCATTCTTTTCGATAAAAAAAAACCCAGATGGAATAGAAGCCCTAGAATTTTCAGATGAAAATACTGTATTTTGGTCGAAATAACAATGAAAGAACAAAATAAACAGTAATAGCTTTTGGAATAGTTAGAAATATATAATATTACTTGAGAAAAACTCGTAAAAGACTGAAGAAATACACAGGAAAAAACTAAAGACGAAAACCGCGCGAAACTGCAGGCCTGCCCAATCTTGCCCGGTTGAATCGTAATTTGTATTAACCATGGTATAAAATTGTACTGATTGTACAAATTTTCATCGAAAACCTTCACACTAGTTAGTTCTTTCCAAAATAAAGTGATAGAACGCGATCGGAAGCTTTAGGACGACGCAAAATGCAAAAAACATGGTTTTTCCCTATCTCGCTCTGTGATTTTTGCCCAGTTGAGCCGCCATCTTGGATTTTCAAAATATGTCACGCCGGTTGAGCCGAGTCAGCAATCTAGGTTTCCTATATCTATGCTTCAGCCACCTGCTCGCGGCTCACCCCCCTAAAATTTCTGGCACCACCCCAGTAATAAATATGAAAATCCATCTATGGACTGTTACGCCTATTTTCAAAACTACGCGGTTTTACAGAGTTTCATTATAAAGATATTATTGTAGGTTTGTAGCCTCCATATAAATTATTTCATGCAGGTTGCATAATGCAGAATAAAACCTAACATACTGTATGTTTTGCTGAAGGCAAAAATATTTTGCAGTGAAATTGGCATGTCAAATTCTCAATGCAAATTTTTAATACCACTACATCATTGTTTAATTACAGTAATTGCAAGAACATCATTGCCAGACATATAAAAAGAAAAACATAGCTAGGATGATTTGTTTAAAATTAATAACAAAATGTTGGTTTGTGTTTTTTTTATGAATTTTCCGAAACTCGGTTTGTGAAAATCACAATTTGATTCATAAATCACGAATCGTTATTTTGAACCCTGGTGTTATTTTTATAATGATTTTCAGTATTTTTTCAAGAGCAAAACAGCCAGTATGGTGAATAAGAAAGTACCTCCGTATTTTCTTGTCCATCTTCAAAACCCTTCTTTTTCTTTTTCTTCTTTTTTTTCTTCATTGACGAAAAATCATCAAAATTCATATCATCATCTAGTTTGTCAAACAAAAACAGTACAATAAGAAATATTTCTACTGTAAAAGCAACTGAAGTGCTTTGTATGTAAATTAGCCCTGACCATTACCACCTGCCATTACGATATTACGATGCAATAAGGCAAGTTGCGTATGATGCAACATGCCTTATTGAATCGTAATATCGTAATGGCATCTTTTAAATTCCCCCTTGGAAAAATTCTGACCAGTAGAAGCATATGAATAATACAGTACCAGTATTTTCCTTTCTTGAAATGGAAATTTTATATCTTCCTACAGTACGTTTTAAATGTTCTGGATTCGTTTGTGATTAAGTAAAGTGTTGTGCATTACATGGTTATTTAAATCACCAATTGAAAACACATCAAAATAGCTTCCAAAAAATCCATTCCAAAAGAGGGTGACAAATTTAAAGCCAGCTAGTCAACGTAATTTATTATAGATTATATTACAAACAGCCCTTCAGGTATCCATTTGAAGTCCTGGCTAATAATAATTTGCTCTACTGCACGAGGCTCCAGCTATTAATTGATGAGGAAAGCAAGTATGCAAAGAATGGAAGGTCGAAGCTTCAAGGGCATTGTGAGTTGAGTGGTGGGCAAAGGCTTGCAAGCTTTGTCTCTTTGGTATATTGTCCGAGTGCATGACCGAACACTTGTCAGCGAATTACGTACACACAGCCTCTGGCGAATGGCTGTCAAATGTCTTCTTAGCGCTGGCGAAATTGGCTGTTCGCCAGCCTAAAACAAGATGGGTGTACAAATTAATGTCCAAAAAGTGAGGGGATGCCCCCCCCCCCTAGACTGTTTGTTTTTCTGAAACATTTGTAATCCACTGTTGTTTACGTTCTAAAAGTTCACTTTTTGACAAGCGAAATGCATATTACACCTTGCAACACCAATGCCAATAAACAAACACGTTTTAGCTCTCGCTTTTTATTATTACGATTTTTCTGAACATAATCTTTGTCCTTCTGAAATAACTCCAATCACTTGAAAAAGCTTGATACGACGTTTAAATATACAAACGTAAATGTGATATCGATATATAATACCGAAAAATATTGATATTCCGATATATCAAAAATTTTAATATCAAATAATTGGTATTTATAAAAAACTGATAATTATCAGTATATCGATATACCACAACAGCCTATGCTAATTTTCATTATTGTAGTTTGTCAGCAATTTTCTTTGATTTTGTGATTTTGCGAGAACTTCAAAGTTTGTACGGTAAGAGGGCTGGGACCGAGGTAAAAGTGCTAAGACCGTCGCCGATATCACAGAGTAGAGACATACAGAGACGTAACTAGTGTACCCACTTTTTTTGTGCACATGCTCGGCAAGTTACTAGATGCATGCATCTGATTGGATGACGACCTGATGACGACTCACTTTAAACTTGCTGAGCACGCGCAGTTGATCTTTTTCGCCCAGTCGCCTGAAAAAGTGGTACATGATAACGTAATCACAGAATAGATACAGGACCAGAAGTGTCACTCAGACGATATTTTGTCCGAAATTTTACGAGTGCTGACATGAAAATACGCCATCATATGACGCCATCCTGGAGTGCACAAGGAAGTTTTTCATAGAAAAGCATAGGTACAAAGTGCCGGGTGCACTCCAGGATGGCGTCATAGCACACAAAAAAATTTCGGACGTTTTCCTTCAGCCAAAACAAATAGGAGTGACACTTCTGGTCCGGTATCTATTCTGTGACGCAATCTTCTGCAGTGTTTACGACAGTCAGTAACATCTCTGTATGTCTCTACTCTGTGCCGATATTTCATTTGTTTTACTCTCGCAGAGTGTCTGCGACTACTGCCGACTGTCGCAACAAAACAATTTTTTATTTATCATGACAGTCAGCAACACAAATTACGATAGACGCTTGCCGACGATCACAGAATCAACATTGGCTAGTATTGCCAACTAATGAAAACCAGCCTCTAAACTCACCAACATCCTTATCTTGTGAATCCTGAACTGCTTCATTCTCTTTGTTTGTATCTTCATTTACAGATGTATTTTCATTTACAGATGGCTCTTCGCTTTTCGCTGTTTCAACTGGCTCTTCTGAACCATCTAAATCGACGATCTTTCTAACTTTTTTCTTCTTTTTCTTCAAGCTTGGATCAAAAGCCTAAACACACAAACAATCTTCAGCAATCATGAATTTAATATACTGTAGGTGATCAATTAAATCTTCACGTGCCAAACATGCTATAGTTCACAACAATTGAACATTACATTCTCATAATCGTCGGCCATTTTCGCACAAATTTCTCACAGATTTCCCGTTTTTGAAGTAGCCTTTAGCACCAAAGTTAACACTTTCGAAAAAGCTGAGTAATATAAAATTATCACAAATTAAAACATGTAAACAATTTCTACAGTGAAGATTGCATCAGCCATTGCATCAGCCAGTCAGTGGGGAATATGCATGTGGGGAGCTCAAATCTCCGATCGGGTATTCATACCCTGTGCGACGTCACAAATCGCAATTAATGCGCACGTCATTCGAAGTTGGACGCGCAAGCAAAAGAACGCGAAACTTTTAACGGTATTTTCATTCGAGACAAATGAATTTGCCTACTGTTCAAAGGCGTTCACGTACAAATTATCATCCTGTTTACGTTACTATCGTTTAGTTGGCTTGCAATGACTGCTCTTCCGCCGTCATCCATGCCTCTTGCAGAAGAGTATAAATTCTGTGATGAGCGCTACTCGAAAGAAATTTTAAAAAGACTTAACAAACTTCGCGAAAATCAGGTTATGTGTGATGTTATAATCAAGATTGACAACCAGGAATTTCCAGCACATCGAAATATACTGTCAGCGAGCTCCGATTATTTTTTAGCGATGTTCAATGGGAATATGAAGGAGAGCACGGAACAGTCCATCTATTTGAATGGTATCGGGGCCGAAACAATGCGAGCGATTCTGCACTTTATCTACACAGGAGAGATATATTTAAACAAGAATAACGTAGAAAACATCTTGCAAGCTGCTAACTTACTGCTAGTTCAAACGGTAAAGGACGCTTGTTGTCGATTCCTGGAGAGTCGCTTGACGATAACGAACGCCTTGGCCATTCAACTATTTGCAGAGATCTATGCTTGTGAAGAATTACATTCAATAGCCTGCGAATTTATTCATCAGAATTTTACCTATATCTCCGAAACAGAAGACTTTCTAAGTCTTTCACCTCGTCAACTAGCCATGTTGCTGCAAAGTGATGAAATCAACGCCGAATCTGAAGAAAAGATCTACGAAGCGTTGATGCGCTGGATTAAAAGCGACATCCGAGCTCGCAGGCAACATTTTCCCGAACTGATAAAGCACATTCGATTGCCATTAATTTCGCCGTACTATTTAGTAGATTTCGTTGAGAAGGAAAGTCTGTTCAACATGACCCCATCGTGTAGAAGTCTGTTGCTGGAAGCTCAGCACTATCACATGTTACCTGAAAGGCGGGTGGAAGTTGACAACGCTAAAATCCGACCTCGACAGTATGAGAGATTGCATGAATCACTCATGGTTATCGGAGGAAATGGTGACATCACACCATTAACAACAGGTTAGCTCATTATCACAGGGAAAAATTCAAACTCCCATCAATGGATTTTTGAATTTTTACCATTGTACGTTAAAGTAACTACTAGGGTGGGCTGGAGGCAAAAATAGGTTTTCAAAAAAAACCCCGGTGGACCATCCGAGAACGTAGAAAAATTTCAAAGACAAAGCCCATCGTAGGTCATTGCAAAAATTTCACGACCCATCCTGCTATACATGAATATGTACTGTATAGCAGTTACTTTGATCAAACCATGCACTGAGTCACTTTCTCATAACTTGTGCATAGTACTAGTTATATATATATGTATTTATAATATAGTCATCCACCGTATATGAGCTGTTCTGCAATCTGATTGGTTGAATTACTCGCCGTATATCAGCTCATATATCCAGGTATGGCTAGTAGCGAAAAACAAGATGGCGGTCCAAAAACTACATGAGTTTTGCGAAGCAGAAAAAGGAAAATATTCGCTTTGAAAAACATAATAGTACAAGGAAAAACTCTCAAAAAAATTTGACAGGTTAGAAAAATACATTTATTACGTAGAAATTAGTTTAAATACAAGTTTTTCAAAGAATTAATACCGAAACAACAGCGAAAAAACATGTTCATTGAGAATATAAATTGTTCAGAAAAGTTTGCAATGAACGACAAATGAATTTGCAGTCAACAAGCACTTACTATAGTACCAAACATCTGTATAATATATCTGAGCTTTCCTGTGAAATATAGAGGTTCTAAAACCATTTCTTTCACTTCGTTTTCGAGTTGTAAAACAAAAGTATTTCAAATTTTCAAGCGGTTTTTGGCCGAACAAATTGTCAACACATTGTAACAGTGAATAATTAATTACTGCTTCAGTTAATGGCTATATTAGACTATATTATAAAACAATTAAATATTGAGTGCAAACAGGCTATATGTGTTTCATGGCCCATCCATTTAATTTCACTTAATATGTATAATTATACTAATAACCAATAATGATAAATTTTACTTTGATATTAATAATACATGGTATTAAATCTTTAAAAACCATTCGAAATCATTAATGGAAATTTATTTTTTTCCTGTGACATGCATAAAGCCCCAGTTACCAGGACAATCTCCGTACAAGTTTTCCTTGACATGTTTACATTCCTCGTGCTGACAAGTTTCCCTTGTCCTTGATGATAAGTTTTGTTACTCGTGTGCACGGAATGTTATTTATTAAAAAAGCATATATTTGTCGCACGGCAAGGCCGCTTTTTGTTTGCCAAAACCACAGAAGTGTCCTTGTCTAAAAACTGATATGACTAGCTTTGGATTAAGACACCTTGGCAAGGAAAAATTGTCGATATTTTGTGCCGTTCACACGAAGAAATTAACAACTTGTGAAGGAAGTTTGTTAAGGAAAACGTGTCAAGGAAAAAAAATCCGGCTGTAAAAAGTTGATGAGTTCCAACTCTCGCTCATATTTGACCGCCGTGGGGAGATCTTCCAAAAAAGTTTAAAAAACGGTTAACAAAAGTAAAAAAAAAGTTTAGAAAAGTTAGATTTTCAAAAGGAGTTAAAAGAAGTTAGATTAGGGTTAGGGATTAGGGTAGGGGTTGGGGTTAGTGTTAGTGGTTAGGTGCCGCGAATTTATCATATTGATAAATTCGGACGTGTTTAACAATTTACTCATAGTAAATTTAAAGGTGGACTCATGCTGAAAATCATACATAGTATTTTTTAATAAAGGTGTTGTTGCATTGCAAGTTGCAGTCAAACCGATCTCGTGTAATGTACGTAGCTTGTATAGACCCTTTGCACAAGACGTCACAGCGCCGGTGACGATGCATCTGGAGGACAAATTAGCAATCTATGCATAATATAACTTTGTAAACAAAGCACATTTTGTAAAACTTTATAATAATTTTGTATTAAAATGGTTATTTTTTGCGCTAGTTTTGTTGTACCCGAACAGATATTGTTAGGGAGCATCTGGAGGACACTCTAGATCTAAGGATTTGTGACGTCAGTGCAATGGGTCTATTCTATGATTTTATGAAAGTAGTTAGGCGAAATTACTATAGTAATAACATGTTTTTCCTACCAGACAGGTTTCATGTTCCCCGTACACCAAAATCAAATTTGGTTCCATACTGTAGCGATTCAAAACTTCCATTACAGCCGAAAATGATAAATTTTCCTTTCCTTTAGTATTTTCTTACAACACGATGAAGGACCAGTGGACGGAATTGCCGAAGCTGTCAAAAGAGCGAGGTTACCATGGCATCTGTGGTATTGGCAGCAATGTCTATATAGCAGGAGGTTATTCATGTGTCAACTCAGAGACCTTGAATTCAGGTAACACTTTGTCACAGAGAAGAGACATACAGTATTGTAACTAGTGTACCCACTTTTTTGTACGCATGCTCGGCAAAATGCATGCATCTGATTGGATGACGACCTGATGACGACTCACTTTAAACTTGCTGAGCACGCGTCGTTGATTATTTATTGCCCGGTCGCCTGAAAAAAAGTGGGTACATGAAAACGTAAGCTTGGTAGGAGGCTGTAGGCTGCTTCGGTAGGAGGCTGTAGGTTGCTTCGTAAGCATGACGGTAGGAGGCTGTAGGTTGCTTCCGAACGAAATGGCGGCTGTGGGAGCGAACGATTTTGCTTTGAGTATGAAATGGCGGATTTTAACACTTGCCTTCTTTAGTTAAAACGGTCATTCATGCATGCATTGCACATGTTTTTGTTGTTGAGGCTAGTTTTTCGCCTACTTGTAAACGCGTTTTCTTTGCCATTATTACACAGAACTTCACGAAATTCCATCTACATGTAGTTTAAAGTTTCCTAGTTGCTTCCCTGCAGATAAAAGTTATCAATGGATGTGAAAAGATGTTAAAATCCATCATTGTATCGTCAAAACAAAACCTTTCGCTCTTACAGCCGCCATGGCGCCATTTCGTTCGAAAGCAACCAACAGCCTCCTACCGTCATGCTTAGCGGGCATCGCTAAAAGGGGAAAGGTCTAGTAAGTTTTATTCCTTATCCATCTCAATTTTCTGGTGTTTTTGTCACTACCAACGCTGGCACGGACCGTTCGAGTTATTGTCACTACTACCGTTTGAGCTTACTGTTTACATTATCAATTTATTTCTATTCAGTTTTTGAAGGTCACACGAGTAATGCCAAATAATTGTTTTTCTATTCAGAATGGTATTCGGAGTAATGAATCCTGTTAGTGATTGCATGTATTTTCGTACGATGAAACTATATCACTTAAAATGAATTAGGAAATCATGTTTCATAGATCGAAGAATCGAGAATTTTCTGGTCACAGTTCAGCCTTTTGATTGATGGTTTTTAAGGCGCATTTCAGCCCTAATTGAAAAAACTAATTAGAAAATCAATTATGCATAATTCAGGATCAGTAAACTCAATGTTTTTAACAATAAAAATGTTTTAAATGTTAAAAATATTAAGTTTGCTGATCTTGAATTATGCTTCATTGATTCTTAAAAGCCATCATTCAAAAGGCTGAACTGTGCCATTAAGCCTCTAGCTTCCCTTGAAGAGCCCTTTGTGTTAGAATTTGACTACATTAACCAAAGGGACCAAAGGCAATTTATATAAGAGACCCAAATGTAAGGCAAATTAAGTGATCCTTGGTTAATTTCAGTTGCGATTTAGTCAAATTGATCATGAAGGCCAATATGTTAAGGCCAGTTCAAACAGTCCAACTTATTTATTGTTGATCTAACCTAACTCTAACCAGCATCGCTTAGGTGTGTTTTAAAAACATTGTATTAGTGGGTTTGGCAAATACAACAGTAACGCCAATGAATACATAATCATCAACAATTTAGCATTTTACTCTTTCGATACTTACCAACTTCAACAGATAGAAATGTGTGACACCTGACAGCTTCATCAAGCATTACTGTCATATTAATTTGATCGCAAACGTGCTTCTCTAACCGTATTCCAAATAGCCTGCGAACAGGCTCTCAAGCTGAATTGAGAGCCTGCATCGATGACTAATGAATTTGAATATCTACGTCTCAAATCGTGACGCGAAATTCTCATTGGTCAGATGCTATAATTTATATGTTTCCGCTGAGCTCTATATATGTCAACTGCTGAAGCACTATGCATAAAAAACACATTAACTGATCAAATTGGTCTTGGCCATCTTATCTCAAAGCACGAAATGTTCTTATTTGAGAAAACAGTATTTAAAACATTTGAACTTTTGCTTGAATATCTTATATTTCGAAAAACAGTATAAACTGTACGGTCTAAATTTAGTTTGCACGGTCTAAATTTAGTTTGCACGAAAGTTGTAAACAACACCATATAGGGATAGACATTCCATATTTGGAAAAACGAACGTTACGGGGCAGATATTCAAATTCATTAGTCATCGATGCAGGCTCTCAATTCAGCTTGAGAGCCTGTTCGCAGGCTATATTCCAAATAATAGAAGGGTAAAAACCGCTCCTGGTTATGTCTAATAAGTGTATAAAATTCAGAATCGACTACAGAATCGACTGATTCTTTCTTTGACAACTAACATTGTAAATAACTGTAATTTTGATGCAGAACCCCACTGAAAAACATGTGGGTATAAATATAATTATTATTAAAATTCACACTCAGTATTTCCATCTATAAAACCCTTAGCTTCTGCAATCGTAGAACTTATCTATCGAGCGTAATGTTAGATTTGGCCAAGGCCTCCCAACCATGCATGCATCGCAGACTTTCGAAGATGCCTCGATTTCCAACATGTTCAGTATTGAATTAAATTAAATTCAAAAACTCCTTAATAATTCAGGAGGAAAACACAAAGAAAAATCATAAGCGTGTCGTGATTTTATACAGAGTGTATCAAAAAAAAGGAGACCTTTTGAAATCAACCATATTGTTAAAATTTGAATGCCTTTTCAATTGCACATATGCTGAACCGTAGTGCGTGAAATAGTGATGGGGTGCATATATTAGAAAAAGGAGACCTTTAGAAATTGAAATAACGTTAAAACAAAAGATTGTCTGCTCCTGGGAAAACTCTGCCATGCATACTGTACGAGTGTACGTAGATCGCATGCTACGCACTCGTGGGCTTTGGAAAGTGCTCATGCAGGATTCAAATTATAACAATGGTTGATTTCTAAAGGTCTCCTTTTTTTAATATATGCACGCCATCAATATTTCACGCACCACGGTTTAGCATACGTGCAATTGAAAAGGCATTCAAATTTTAACAATATACTTGATTTCTATTAAAGGTCTCCTTTTTTTGATACACCCTGTATGTGATAAAAAATCATGTTAATTTACATAAACTTTAGCTTTGATTTTCTCGGTTTAGACAAAGTTTATTTTAGAAATTAGCCTACTTCGCCAATGAACTCGTATAAGATGAGTCGTTTTTGAAGCCATTTAAAGCACTTGTAGTCGTGTTTTATCACATATAAAACACTCCGCTACGCGTCGTGTTTTATATGTGATAAAACACGACTACAAGTGCTTTACATGGTACTTAAATTAGGCTTAATTCTCAGCTGTTTCTACACTATTTTTCTAACTCTGGGAGGTGTGAGTTCTTTTGACGACTAAAGGGCGTGGTCATCAATCAATCTGCCATGAGTATCAATCAATCTGCCATGAGCACTATGCAAAATTTGCCCGAGTATCATACTTTTTTAAAATTACAAATATCGCGCGGACTACTTGCTGCCTTGCTGGGCTAGCTTTAAGTACTGTTTAATAAACGAGCAGGAGTGTTTATTAGGTTTAAAGCCACGAGCGCGCAGCGCGAGTGGCTTTAGACCTAATAAAACACGACCTGCGAGTTTATTAAACGGCTTCAAACACGACTACAAATTCAATAGATATACTGCCTTATTAGTATTCTTTATATAAAGAATACTAATTAAGAGTGTTTTATCAGGTTTAAAGCCACTGCACGTGACATATTATGGTTGACATGATTTGCCAATAAGCTTATGAATTATTAATGAGTGTTTGAATGGTAATTTGACTTTAACACTCCAGAACCTGAGTATAGTTTCAGCTTCCCTGAGAGCAAATACCAACAAATAGTGATTTTAATTCTACCGCTTTTTTCTTAGTGAAGTGCTACGATGCCCGAGACAAGACATGGCATTATGTGGCTTCAATGAACGCCGCACGCAGTAAGCTAAGTATGGCTGAGGTGAATGGTATTATTTATGGAATGGGAGGTTTTGATGGCAGCACGACATTGAATACTGTAGAAAGTTACACCATTGGAACGAACAAGTAAGTCAGGCATATTAAATTAACACAGCCCTATAATCTTTATGAAATAATTAAACATCTTTATAATATAATAACCTTCAGAATTAAAGTGATTTCATTGGTAGAGAGCCATGATTTATTTGAGGACGGATGCACGGAATTACGTTATACAAACTTGTGTTCTGTGCAACCAATCACAATTCAGTACGTGATTTAAGCTAGCCAATAGCATTCCTTATTTGTGTAGATCATGTACACGTGGTAAATTGTCAAATTTCGATTTTTTCAACTTTTCCAAATATTTGGTGGGGGTGGGGGGTGGGATAAAAACCATTTAAAACAGAATATAAAACAAATAGATAACATTTTGTCGTTGTCTCTTCAGTTATGATTCACAGTATTGACATCATAATGTGGACCATGTTATGACGTCATACTGTGTATCTATAACTGAACAGACAACGGCAGAGTGTTATCTATTTGTTAAATGTAATCTGTTTGTGATTATATTTTTTAAGGTGGAGGACAATAGCCCCAATGCCAAGCAGAAGACGTTGCACATGCGCAGTGTCACATGGTCAGTATGTCTACGTGTTGGGAGGGCATGACGGATCAAATATCCTGAATACTGTGGAGAGATACGATACGACAAAGTAAGTTGGTTTTCTGTTCTGTAATGTGAGTGGTTTTAGACAGTTTAACTGTGAGTTTATTTAAGGAATGCGGCAATAAAATATAAGTTTGTTACAATAACATCGTGGTCAAACGTCCGCGTATTGACTGCTTGCACTCGAAGACTGGAAACATCTAGTACTAGTATTGTCTTCATAAAGCTCCGCTAGCAAAAAAATTAGGAGGATGAATAACTTCATCTTGCCACAAGAAACAAGCGGTAAAATGTCCTACACATTAAACCTTCCTTACAGATCTCACATTTGGTAAACCTCCCTCACGGGAGGTACCCGCATACCCACATCCATATCGTTTTTGCAACTCCGATTATTCACTGGAAAGGGAAAGGGAAAGGGAAAGGGAAAGGGATAGTGAAATTCATATTGAAGGTAAAGTAACACGAGCAACAAAATTGTAGCAACTTGCAATAAAATCTGATTTCAACGCATAATTGGAAATTTGTATTAATATGTTGTCTCGGGCGTTGTAACTAGTGTGTAAACATTTCAATTAGCCTTTTCCCAAAAGAAATCACAGTGCATTCTGGGATTGTTTGGAGGGAGCAAACATATGGTGACAGGCGTCAAATATGTGAAAGAGTAAAGTATCTACTATCAAAATCAACTTTCAGTTCAGACAACCAAAAATGAAATATCTCTTTTTCACATTAAACATTTAATTTAAATGTGTGCTGCCATATTTCTTGTCCCTCCAACATGAGATTTGCGCGACTAGACACAGGACTTTGGGAAATGGCTAATTAACATACGCTGAAATAAGATTTTATTGCAAGTTGCTGCAATTTTGTTGCTCGTATTGGAATTTGCGATTACATCACTAAATCCATAGTAAGGATTTTGAAAGATATTTCCAGTGATTTGGCAGACATTATTCTGTACATACGTTTTACGTTTGACCGCAGCGTTCTTTACAATTACATAATACAATACACCTTTCCGATAATTACGTCACAACTACATTGTTTTCAACTTAGGACCACCTTAAAGGGAAATGGCAATATATTATTTTATTTTCTCGTTTGAAAGAACATTTAAAACCATTTTTTAAAACTCTTTTACCGTTTTTTCATATCTTGCTTACTTCTACAAATATTTTGATCGAAAGAAAAGAAATGTCCGCCATCTTGGATTTTTGTGGATATGCATGTTACGTCACAACAGGGGTCACGCAATATTTTTATCTAGACAACCACTAATCATTTTGCACTCAAAATTATACTCTGTATGCTGTTGGAAATATCAAGATCACTTGAAACGTTTAAAACATCTACCAATCAATATTTGGTCAGTAACGAATACTTTTATATGGTTAATCCCTGTTGTGACGTCACCAAAACTACCGTTATGAGATCAAAATTTTATCCAAGATGGCTGACAGTGACATCTCATTTCTTCAAGTGAAAATATTTCAAGAACTAAGCAAGATATGTAGAATCGGTAAAAGAAGTTACTAAATAGTTTCAAAAGTTCTTTCAAATGAGAAAATAAAAAAATATATTGCCATTTCCCTTTAAATCACGCTTAAATGGAATCGAGTTCAAGTTTTTTTCTCACTGGCTATGCGCAAAGAAGCAGAACATCATTCTTTAACACATGCATGATAAAAAACTTTATTATTTTGACCAATAAATGCGGGAATAAGCTTTAACACGAAAACGAGGCTGATGGACCCAAAGGGGCCATGATCCCTCAGCCTCGTTTTCGTGTTAAAACTTAGTCTCACATTTATTGGTCAAAATATATTAATTTTTTTTTATGCATGTGTTGAAGAAGGACGCTCTGCTTCTTTGCGCATAGCCAGTGAAAGTTTTTTCACTGGCTATGCGCAAAGAAGCAGAGCGTCCTTCTTCAACACATGCATGAAAAAGATTCTTATATTCCTATATTATAGACCCTTGAAATCCATTCAATTTAAGGTGGTTCTAAGTTGAAAACAATGTAGCCGTGACATAATTACCGGAAAGGTGTATTGCATTATACCGTACAAAGAACTCATTAGCGTTTGCTTTAAATTTTGAAGGGATGAGTGGAGTGCGACGGATGTGCCTCAAATGCACGACAGAAGATCCTTTCCTTGTGCGGTCGTCGTTGACGACCGGATGTTTTGTATCGGTGGTTATGATGGCAACGACACATTACGTACAGGAGAGGTCTACGACTTCGAATCCAATCAATGGACGCCAATCCCTCCGATGACCGTGGCGAGATCAAACGCGGGCGCTGCTGTCCACAACAAGAAGATCTACATCGTGGGAGGATGGGACGGAGTAAGCTTAGCTTCCGCCGAGGTATACGATGTCGTCATCGGAGAATGGAAACGAATTGAGAATCTCCCTCGACCCACGACCGGAGTCCGATGTTGCTTCATCAGCCTTCAGAATCAAAACAACGACCTCAAACCATTACGACAAAAGAACTCCAAAGGCCATTTGTGCAGTATTATGTAATATTACAATGTCGTCACACAATGGACAATTTAAATTGAACTCATATGCAATTTGAGCTGCCAGGGGCGGCTAGCCGTCAGATATATGTATAACAGTATAATGTATATTAATAATTAAACTCAAAAGCTGACAATTATTTGAGAAAATAAACGCTGTGAACATGTGCTGGACACCTAATAAACGTAATACGCAAACAATGGTTTTAGAATTTTGTGAAATAAAAGTCGTATATATAAATAACTAATAAACCTAAAAAAATATCCTCAAAATAGACGTGTGGCATTATTTGCCGAATCCGAAGATTGAAAATATGGCAAAGAGGAAGGGGGGGGAATTAGCCATTCCGAGGTTGATGAGAGGACTGGGGACGAGTGTTAAAAAGTGCCCAAATTAAGAAATGAACCAAATGACTAAAGAGACCACCTCAAAATTAGTACGTATACAAAATTTGAAGACGTTTACATGAATACCCTTCGAATAATAAGCTTTCGAAAATTGTGAAATTACACAAAGTTTGAAGATGTTTACAATCTTTTTAGTAATTTGGTTCATTTCTTAATTTTGGCACTTTTTAACGCTTGTCCCCAGTCCACTCATCAACTTGGGAATGGCTAGTCGAAGCAAGTGACGTTTTTGTCAACACGGACGTCAGATTGTCGAGGAGGGACTGGATTAAATACTGTGTTTGTATCAGTGGAAGAGAATTAAACACGAGCTCGGTAGTCGCTGAAAACAAGAAAAGATGAAGTATTAAATTCTTCGTATATCTGCAAAATCAGGCTTAAGAATTGTAAAAATCCTTATGAGTGTGAAATCCTTAAAAATTGTAAAAATGACGCGTTCCCCCTATTTTCAGCCAAAAATTATGTCATCACTGCTGCATTAGGCCTACTATACTTTAAATTCAGCTTCGTAATAAAAGTCGACGAGCTGTAAAATCCGGATCCATCATTGTTGGTTAACATCAGTGAACTCTCTATATATATATATAGAGTTCACTGGTTAACATAGCCAATCGAAAATGGTGAATTGTTTTATTGAATGCATATATGCACTGACATCGCGTCCATGCACCGTTTTAATTCAGACTCGATTGACATAGTACATAGACTGATACATATCACAACTGATATAGTCTTAGCTTTAAGTACTATTTAAAACATGCATGAGCAGCAGTGTTTTATCAGATATAAAGATACGAGGCGAAGCCAGGTATCTTTAATCTTTCTGGGTCTGATAAAACACGCACTGCGAATGTTTTAAATTGCTTCAAAAACGATCGACCTAGTAATAGTTCATTGGCGAAGTAATTTTCAAAAATACGTTGTGTAAGTCGAGAAGATCAAAGATAAAGTTTATGTAAATCTACGGAAATCCCTGTCACATTTGTGTTTTCCTCGTGAATTATTAATGCGTTTTTGAAGGCCCGTTTATACACTTGCAATTTGTGCTGCAATCTCTGGTGGGAGTTTCGCATAGGAGTTTCGTCTTGTAATGTATGCGAATGAGTTAGCAATGTTCTAAGTATGTGTTTCCTCATCTCAACGTTTAATAGCCTCCAACTTACTACCAATTAGTTTCTGGCACGAATATTTAGATTTGGTACATTTCTTAAAATGATCAATGGTTTGGTCTATGCAAACAAAGATGTACTACCAGCAAGAAATCTTGGCAATGAAAGGAAAACGAGAGCAACAAGCAATCCAGACCTTATCTTGTTCCGTACTAACTAAGAAATGCAAGACTGTAACCTACCAGACCTCCTTCATCAACAGAACAACAAGAATATGGAACATTCTTCCTAATGAATTTAAACAACACTCTCTTTCCTTGTCCACATTTAAATATTTACAATTACTTTACAGATATTACACTACTGCTATAAATATAAACTATGAATCTGAAAATCCTCGGACTTGGAAATCAATCTGTTTGAATTGAAATGTAACTCTGCTCGTAGTCTTGCTACTCCTCTCTCCTGTTGTTCCTGATAGTTGTATTTGTTCTCGCAAATTAAGATAAGTTAATGTAGTTGTATATATTTATATACAACTACATGAAATAAGTGTAATAAGGCCCACAGTAATTGGTTTTTATACTGTTGTGGTGACCCTGCCACTCTTTTATGTGGTAAAATTATAATAAATAAATAAATAATCATAACTCATCCACTCGTTATTCACAGATACCAGAAGAAGAAAATGGGACATTAAATCGCAGCAGTTTCTTCTTCTGATGGATGCGAACGAGTGGATGAATTATCAATGTTCCAATGAGGGTACATCAGTGAGCTACTGCATATATGTCCGTAGCGAGAATTCGAGTCCAAAAAGCGAAACCAAAGATGGATCTATTGGACGTCAGTTTCAGTCGCTTTCTGTTGTTTTTATCTGCGCGGTCTGCAAGGAGTGTGCCGAAATTTGCGATTTTGACTTCGATTTGAACTGAAACTGGAATTAGCTGGGAAAATGATATTAGAACTGTTTGCGACCTTCATAGGTATACTATTGGACGTAGTGAACTCTAGGTAAACGGGAATGATATAATCAAGTGCTATGATTGGTCATAGCCTATCGAAGGGAAGATGGCTGTGAAAGTCATTAGAATAACAATATTTAACAATTATTCGCCGAAGGCGAGGTGATTATCGGGGAATATTCGCCGAGACGAAGTCGAGGTGAATATTCCCCGATAATTACCGAGCCTAGTGTTTTTCTGGTCTGAGTTCATTTTAATTTCGCTTATTTCTTTACCACTAACTTTAACAAAACTGCGCTAGCCGCCATTTTGAAAATTTCGATTTTCTGATTTTGTTATATTCACCTGTAGGTGAATATAACAGATTAATACGTCAAATTTGAACAATCACCTTGTAGGATTTGTTATGTTCACTTGTGAAAAAATACTAAAACTCATTATCTATGTTGGTCAACATTTATTCATAAATTTGGTCCTTCGCCGTCACGTGTGTATTGTATTCTTGCCCAGCTAACCAATAGCAATGTTTTAGGAAAGTCACCTATCCGTTACTCGAACAATAGGGAAACTGGAAATTGCTATTGGTGGATTTGGTAAAAATACAATACACACGTGACGTTGAAACGACCAGATTTATGAATAAACGTTGACTAACGTATAGATAATGAGTTATATTGTTATTCTAATGAGTTTTACAGCCATCTTCCCTTCGATAGGCTATGGATTGGTTGAAGCTAAATTTGAAGCCAAGCGCGAGATGAATTAACTTTCAAAATGAATTGGGAGAGTTTCGAGGAACGGGAAATTTGTTTTTGAGTTTGTTTTTGAGCGAAACTTAACAAGAAAAAGTACTTTTTTATCAAAAAGCTTCAGTTTTAAAGATTAACGCCCGTATTCTAAAAGCTCACTCACACTCATATTCACACTCAATGAGTGGAGGTTCAATCTGAGCTTCCCTTGAGTGTCACTTCTGTTTTTGAATAGCTGGAGGGTTAGTGCCGTACCGTACTGTGCGAATACTCACCCTCCAGCTATTCAAAAACAGAAGTGACACTCAAGGGAAGCTCAGATTGAACCTCCACTCATTGAGTGTGAGTGTGAGTGAGCTTTTAGAATACGGGCGCACAACCTGGTTTCCTGGATATATCCATGCAGTCTAAATATATAGTTCTAAGTATTTTACATCCACTAACAGCAAAACCTTCAATTTGGCTTCAAAGATGCATGGCGGCCAAGTTATCGTTCCAGACTTCCAGTCCTTCTAGAGTTCATTGATTGGACGCATTGAACTTCATTTCAATGATTGCACGTCAATTCCGCCATCGTGGCTTGAATGGCTTCACTTTTCTTATGTTATAGGCCGAATGATTCCGAATTACTGAAGTTCTTGCTCCATGTATATATTTAAAAAACTCATTTATCAGAAGAAAATCCCACCAGAAATCGCGGCAAAAATTGCAAGTGCAAACGGGCTGGCCTTAACGTGTTATTGCATTTGCGACTGTCTCCATATACAAAATGTATATATATATTTAAAGAAAAATCATAAGCGTGTCGTGGTTTTATATGTGATAAAAAATCACGTTAATTTGCATAAATTTTAGCTTTGATTTTCTCGGTTTAGACAAAGTTTATTTCAAAAATTACTTCGCCAATGAACTCGTATAAGATGAGTCGTTTTTTAAGCTATTTAAAACACTTGTATAGTCGTGTTTTATCACATATAAAACACTCCGCTACGCGTCGTGTTTTATATGTGATAAAACACTCCTATACGCATGCTTTAAATAGTACATATATATATATATATATATATATATATATATATATATATATATATATATATATATATATATATATATATATATATATATATATATATATGTATCTTTGTTATCTTTTCAATTATTCAAGAAGCAGAAGCAAAAGCAATAATATTAATATTTGAAATTTCTTGAAAAGCTAATGTATAAAAGTAAATATGACTGAAGTTTCCTCTATAAGTGCACTTAAACGTCAAACAAATGACAAAATATATCATTTATGCTCATTACCGAGTCTTTGACGCTGTCATGATTTGTCCGATGTTTCAATTAATGTCGATTTATCTTCGAGCGTCGAAATGATAAAACGACTGGACAGGAAACTCGTCAGTTATATGTTTCTGCGTGTTGATGGTTGTCGTCTTTTAAAAATGTCAGTAATATCACCAATTACCAAATCCAAAATAAGTGAACGTTTGGCAAAAAGTGATCATTTAGTCGAAAATCCTACATAAATAGCCTACAACCTTGCCGCACTGAGATGGAATACTTGAATATTCATGCCGCCATTTCTGCAACGCCAATTAATGACTTAAGGCCAGTTTACACGACAAGCGTTTTGGGCACGGCACCCCTGAAAATGGGCACCGTGCCAAAACCGCCACTTCGCTATTTACTCGTTTACACGACAACATTTTGTAAACACACTTTTTATGATAGGCACCGTGCCCATCGGAAAACGGCACCTCTACTTTCCGT